GGGGGGGGCCTCATGATGTCCAGGTCGTGGTCCTCTGGAGTTTTTGAATCAATTAAAGCAAATAATGCTCTGTTTTCCACAGGCCCTGGCGAGCGATTGGCCGAGGCAGGTCCCGTGACCACGAATTCCCTGCAATTTCGCCAGAGTACTGGGTTTAATAGAGAGAGTCCCCATACGCTTGTATTTATCAGCAATATACAATTATAAAGGCCCAAATTAAAAAAAAAAAATAGAGCGAAATCTCTCCCTCCCAAGATCGCTCCACTACATAAACCTGGGGGGGGCAGGAGGGGGGGTCCCTTCCGATCCTCCCTCCTGACGCCCCCCCAGCAGGCCCCCTCCCCCACCATTGTAAGCCATGAATTTTGAATTTGAGAGGGAGATTGGGTTTATAAACAGCCAGCCATCGCTCGCGGAGTGTTTGACTTCCTTTCCCGCTGTCTTGGAGACATTTCAAACTTCATCAATCAAGGAGTCGACATTAATTCCTCCTCCTCCTCCTTTCGAGCAAACCTTCCCCAGTCTCCAGCCCGGCGCCTCCACCCTTCAGAGACCCGGGAGCCAAAAGCAAGCGGAAGATGGGCCCGCTCTGCCGCTGCCGCCGCTCCCCGCAGCCCCCCCGGCCCCCGAGTTCCCCTGGATGAAAGAGAAGAAATCCGGCAAGAAACCCAGCCAACACGCCACGTCTCCTTCTCCGGTCGCCTCCTCCGGGGTTGGATCGCCGGCAGGTCGGTAAGATGGGTGGAGGTGGGGATGGGGTGATGGGTATCGAGAAGAAAGGGAGAGAGACGTGGGAGGAGGTAAAAACGATGAAAAGCCTGTTGGGGTTCCTTGCTCCCCTTATTTCCAGGGATGGGGAAACAGAATATCCCCGTTGGGGTTCAGGCCTGGCCACTGCTAGCATTACCCCCCTACACACACACACACACACACACACACACACACGACAACAGATTCTGGGAAAGGTTGGGGAAGAGCTGTTTTTTCTATTAGAAGACAAGTATTCCATTGGGATTTTCACCCGTACCTGTGTAGGGAAATGAAAGTGTTGCTGGGATTGCATATGGGGCAGGAGGAGCTACGGTTCCCTAGTGGGGGAATTTGAGAACTAGAGAGAAAATGGGGTGAAGAACAATTTTCTTTCTGAACCTTTTCCCCAGGTTGATTTGCAAAGTATCGAATTGAGGGCTCCACTCGGAGGACTTGGGAGGGGGACTTTGAGGTTCTGTGGTCGCAGGCAGACTCTCCCTTGCCCCCTGCGCGGCCCGTGGGCGGTTCTCTGAATGCGTTGCCCTGACCCGGGGCCGTGCTGTTGGGCAAGAAAAGAAGGAAAAACAGTGAGAGTGAGCTGCTTCCGTGGGGGAGGGAGAAAGGTACAGCTGAGATTGGTTTTGGTGAAGGGGTAGTCTTCAGCTCAGCGGCACTGAGGGTGGGCGGAGGTCGCGGCCCGCTTTGACGCCCAGACTGTTTTCCCGACAGAAGGCCCGGGACTCCCGGAGGCGGGCGGCGGGGCGCGCAGGCTGCGCACGGCGTACACCAACACGCAGCTGCTGGAGTTGGAGAAGGAATTCCACTTTAACAAGTATCTGTGCCGGCCACGGCGCGTCGAGATCGCGGCCTTGCTGGACCTCACCGAGAGGCAGGTCAAAGTCTGGTTCCAGAACCGGCGCATGAAGCACAAGCGGCAGACGCAGCATCGAGAGCCGTCCGACGGGGAACCAGCCTGCCCGGGCGCCCTAGAGGACCCTGGCGACCTCGCCGAGGAGCCCGCGGCCAGCCCGGGCGGCCCCTCCACCCCGAGGGAGGCTCGAGAAGCCTGCGCCCACCTGCCCGAGGTCGCCCCGGGTCTCATGGACACCCCGGGACCCCGGCTTTTGGCCAATCGCGTGGAGGGTGCGGGGGCGCAGAGCCGGGGTTGCGTGCAGCATGGGGCCGCGGAGCTGGAGGGGGAGCGATTGCCAGAAGACGCCTTCCCGGAGCGGCAGGATTCGCCTTTCCTGCCTGACCTCAATTTCTTCGCGGCCGACTCCTGTCACCAACTCTCGGGAGGCCTCTCGCCCAGCCTGCAGGGCTCACTTGACAGCCCGGTTCCCTTTTCCGAAGAGGAGCTGGACTTCTTCACCAGCACGCTCTGTGCCATCGACCTGCAGTTCCCCTAACCCGTGTCCCAGGCCTTTCGGAGCCCGGGCACCTGCAGGAACAACAGAAACTTCCCCTCCCCCAGTCCCACAGACTTTTTCTGTGTTTTGCTAAAATTCAGGTATTATTGAATTAGCATTTAATACCCCCTTTTCTCCCCCTGAACTTCATATAAAACCTACTCAGAAAAATTCCGTTTGTAGACTCCTTTCAACGAAATCTCAGGAATAATTAAACTAAGGGGGCTTTCTTAAGAACTTAGAGGGACCTATTTTCCTTTTTTTTTTTTTAACGTTTTAGACCGTAGATTATTTATTAAAATTCTTTAATAATAGGAAAAGGGGAAAGTATTTATTGTACATTATTTTCATAGATTAAATAAATGTCTTTATAATATGAAAACGAGTAAGTGATTGTGTTGGGACCCAGGCCCTTCCCTTGAACGCCAAGGCCAGCCCTCTCCTCCAGCGCTAGCCGCAAATTAGTTCCTGGGAGCGGGCAGGATGCGGCGGCAAAGCCTAGTTGGGAAGTCCGGGTGGTACAAAGGTGGCCCCATTTGGTCGCTGCTTCTCCCTCTTCTTTCTCGGCGACTCTGGGATGGTTCGGAGGGTTTCTGTAAACTCGGTCAGCTCCCTAGCCCGCAGCAGACGGCCTTTGGCCCTGCGTGGCTATTCCAGGGCCTCTGTTAAGACAGGAAGGTGGGCAGAGAGGTGTGCCGCGGACCAAAGACGGTGTACAAAGAGGAGGGCAGGGGGCTAGGGTTTAGCTGACTTGGAAAGGGCTCCCCAAGCTTCGGCTTCAATGCCCTAAGCAGGATGGAGGGGTTTTTTCCCCCAACGCTGGCAACCTGAGAGGTGTGTGCAAGGCCAGGGCCTTCTGAGGTCTGCAGATGTTTGAGGATGGATTTTCCCTAAAGCAGGACCCTCATGTTTAGGGCTAGGAACTGGTCCAAGAGGGCGGAAAAAGCACCCTGGCTGAGAAATGTGGCTTTGCCGCACGCCAGTGCTCTTCCGTCCCCTCCTTATCCTGGGACTAGGGTTAGAAGAGCGTCCGAAGAGCAGCCCGGCGACAAGTCCTGGGTGGTCCAGAAAACAGCGGAAGGTGTGTGGCTTGCGAGGAGGGAAGACTGAGGAGGAGAGCGGGAAGGATATGGGGAAGACAGGAAGATGCTCAAAATGGCGCTGGGGCCAGGCGGCGGGGAGGGCGAGGAGAGAGACAGTGGCCGCCATGACAGCCGCTTCGGGATGGGCAGGTTCCAGCCCCCTCCCCCCATCCAGATCTTCTAGACCCCAAGGAAGAAATGAGGCTCGGGAGCCTCCCTTTCGTTTTTGTTTTGTTTTTAAAATGAACCCAGCGGATGTTGAGGATGCGAGAATGCTGGAGTAGGTGGGGGAAGGGATGGGGAGACCGCGGGGTTGCTTCCCAGGGTCTGCCTTTAGGCCCTGCGCTTTGGGATTTGAAGCCAGGCCAAAGCATACACCAAATGCAGACCTACCTGCATTTGTCAACAACTTCATTGTGCACACCAGCACCCTCTACTACACTCAACTGCACCCTGCCCAGCCCCTTGAAAACTCAGAAAACAAGGATCCATCTCCCCCTTCGGCCTCCTGGTTTGTTGCAGGGAAACGTGGAAATTTAAGGGGCCCCAGGAAGCTATCCATCCTCCTTAGGTTTATTTAATATTTTTCTGGCTGAGAAACAGACACCATGGGGCTATCTCCGCAGCAGATGCTGTCTTTCTCTAAATGCAGTTTATTTCCTGGGCCTCCCAGACTTTCCCCTGGACCAGCAGGACAGGGACCTAAAGGCAGTAACTGTCAGGATAAGGCAGGAGCCGACATACAAAGCTAGACAAGCCCTTGTATATATATATATATATATACACACACACACACACATATTTTTAAAACAGGTCCCTCATTGTAGGAAGTACACACATCTTATTTAGCTGAATTTTTATCCCTTAAACTGTCTTAATATAGAATTCATCTCCTGCACTAAATAATCTTATGTCATGTTAAATTGGACTTATTTCTCTCATAAATAAATTAATATAGAACAATTAGATGTGTTAGTATAATAATATCATGTATCTTATTAGTTTATTTTCCCTCATAAAATATATAGGTATGAAATAAATTCAAGATATTAAAGTAATAATACACAGCTTATTGGCGTGCGTGTTTATTTTCCCCATAAATAAGTGAATATACAATATATTAAAACCACACTATACATCTCATTGGGCTCTGTGTTTATTTCTCCATAAAATATGCCTACCGGCAGTGTTTCACATCTTAAAAATCACAGCACATAAGCCATCTCTACACTAGCAAGATGAAATAGACATTTCAGCTGGAGACTTTGATTTCTATGGACAGCCAAACCGGATAATTTGATCTAATTAAAAATGCTTTAGCAAGTTGTTACAAAGATCAAGGATACCAGAAGGATCCTGCTAATTGTCCACTTTATGGTTTTTCTTTGGTCAAAAGGATATAAGCCCAAAAAATATAAGATCTGCTCTGCTGGGGAGACTTCACACCCTGAGAACATACTCAGGAGCCTTTCTGATGGTTCAGTTCTCTAGACTTTGTAATTCAATGTGGTGGTCCACTACCTGTGAGCCAGTTAGAAATGCAGACTCTTAGGCCTCACTCCAGAACTACTGAATTAGAATCTGCAATTTAGTAGATCTGCAAGTGCACATTAGAGTTTGAGAAGCACTGCTAGGTCTCAGTGCCACCTTGCTTCCTGCCCTTAGTTTATGCTGAAGAATTTTTGACCCACTTTACCTTGCCACTGCCATCCAATCCTTCCTTACCCATACCAGTGGTCCAAAGGGGAGGGACTCCCCTCTTCTGCCAGAAGCTTCATTTGTCCTGATTCACCCCTGCCAGAGTAAGTGGGGATCCAGGAGTGTCAAGCCAAAGGATCAATCACGAAGATGCTTAGATTCAGGATGTCTTTCGGGTAAGAAGCTCCCAATCCAGGGATCCAGCATTTGCTTTGGTTGATTATTGAAGAGGCGTTGGAAGTTTTACAGAAAACTAGCCTTTCTGCTTCTCTCCTTTCCCAAATTCACAAAATATAATCTCTCTAATGCTATGACGGAGTCCTGGTGTGGTGCTGTGGGTTAATGTGCTGGACTGCAAAGTCAGTTTGGACCACAAGGTTGGTGGTTCAAGCTCACCAGCCACTCATAGGAAATCCTATACAGGGTTGCTATGTGTCCGAACTGATTCAATGATACTACAACAACAGCAATGCTAGAACATCAGAACCAAAGGCAATTCATTGCTTCCGTTTCTTCACCCAACCTCAAATTCAAGGGGATGTCTAAAAATTTGTGATCCATGAAGGATTGAGATGTAAGTTTTTGCACATGTTGGAGTACTGATGTGGAGCTGTAGAATAAACACTAAACTAAAAAATGAGTTTGAACTGAAGGGTCGATGGTTCAAACTCACCAGCTGCTCCTTGGAAATCTTACATAGTGTCGCTATGAATCGGAACAGACTCAATGGCACTTAAAAACAACAATATAGCTAAATAAATGGAAAAAATGTGGTTCCAAGATACTGTAACAGATCCTTCATTCCTGGGGTGGCAAATTAGAGGGGAGTGCCAGGTGGCTACACTCAAATCCCATCCTGGTCTGGGCAGGGCTTCTTTCAGATTAGAATCAACTTTGGGTGGTCTATAGCAGAGATTGGTTGACTGGTTATAAATCAGCTGTGATTGGAATAGGAAGGTTTCAGTGCAGTCCAGAAGGCCCAGAAGTTGGCCTTATTCTCTGTGATGAGTCATTCTTTTAAGAAGAATGACTCACTTATATTATGGTGAAAGCAAAGCATCATTGTTGTTCTTAAGTGCTGCCCAGTCAGTTCTTACTCCGAGGAGCGGATGGTGGGTTTGAACTGCCAACCTTGTGGTTAGCAGTCCAGTACTTATCCTACAGGATTCCTGGTGTGGCGCTAGACCACAAGTGGTTCAACATACCAGCCGCTCCTCAGAAATCCTATACAGGAACCAACGCAACAGCATTTAACAACAACCTATCTTACAAAGTTACAACAGGCTCATTAGCATGAGGAATTACTGCAATCATGATAACCCTGAGTCATTTAAAAGAAGAAAGGAGAAAAAGAAGAAGAAATTATACTTGGACAAGTCCCTTCCCCCTGTTGGACCTCAGTTTCTCTCTCCATCTGTAAAAAATGAAAGAACTAAATGCCTCTAGTGCATTCTATATCAATATATGCCCAAAGTATATTTGTTTGTATTCTCTAACAATGCATTAAATATTTATTATGACTGGTGTCATACGCTATTATCTGGGAGTGGTGACTTTTGGTGTTGACAATATACCTCCTTCCTGAGTATCTGGTGGGGCCATTTTAATAAATGTTCATTTGTATCTTTATACCAACCATCATGCCCCAATAATTATTTAAATAAATAAGGAGATAAATCTTTCCAGAAAGCTTGTATGAGTTGTAGTGCTGGATTGTCAGGTACCAGGTATTCTATAAAAATGATTAAGAAGTATCCTGGCCCAGTTTTCCTTTGACTTTCATCTGCTACATCTTTTCCCCAACATTTTGTTATGTTTATTCTTGCTTTAAAAAGAATAGGCCATTTCGTACCAAAAATGTCATCCAACTTTTTCTTTGACATGGTATTCTAGACTTGTCATGTTTTATCTGATGACCAGGGCATTAGAATATAGGCACAAATTTTGAGTCTCGCCAAACAACTCTATTGAATTCCTCTACCCACCTTGCCCCCAAATCTCTGAAAAGTACTTACTGGACCCACTGCACATCTTTCTGATATGTGCTCTCAGTCAAATTCATGTTCTCAGTTTGCAGAAAGTGACCTTTAAGGCCCCACGTCATTTCCTCTCTGCCTGTTCTGGCAGACATGGCCCAGACCCTCCACTGATCCTTCCAACCCAGTTCTACTCCCTACCTCCTCCACCCCTCTCTCCACACGCAGTGGTGAACCAGATCTACTGTACCTG